ATTATATATATATATATATATATATATAAAAATACCTTGGCGACGTCGTCTCGTTTTTTCTGCGATGTCGCCCCGCGTGGGGAGAAGAAAGGCGACGTCGCACATTATTTTGTTTACTTTTATATATAAATATATATATATAATATTTTATACATAAATATATATTGGCGATGTCCTCAAAAAAAAATTTACTTTATATATATATGTGTGTGTGTGTATATATATATATATATATATATATATATATATATATATATTGAGCAGTATAACGCTCGGTATACGGTACCATATCGTACCGAACAAATCTCGAAATTCCGGTACGATACGATATTTCAATTCTTGCTTTTTAGTTCTGAGCAATAGCAAAATTACTCAACAAGAGTTAAATCCCACACAAAATAAAATTTGATTCAACATTCGTAAAATAGAATAATATTTACTAGCTCAATACTTTAATTTGAAGCATTTTAAGAAAAAGACAAGATAATAAAAACTTAATATTATCATTTTGAAAAGACAAACCTTTCTATAGTTTCTCTTTTGTTCCTCAGACAATCCAATCTCTTTCTCATTTTGGGTTGCCTCGTCATAGAAAGGATTCTCTTCAATTTCACCAATCTCCTCTACCTAGGCAGATAAAAATAGAATTTATTGATATTAAGTTTTCAAAGTGAAAAAAAAGGTTATATTAAACCAAAGCATGGTTCTTTGCAAATCTAATTGCAGAATGATTAAAAAAAAGGCGTCAAACACTCCTAACGATATGGCACAGCATTATTTGAAGAGGGCAAAATTGTTTGCATGGAAGCATTAAAACACATGATCAACCACCAGAATGGGCCACTAATCGTGGCCACTGGTCCACGAACCACCAATCCAATTACGGCCAAGTTGCCAATTTCAGAACAAGGATTTAGCCTTTAACCAGAGGTGCCTTCCCGACAGAAACATTTCATTTCACCAAGGAAAGAAGACTTTTCACATGTAAGTTTATGCAAAAGCCTATTTTAAGGCGACTTTGGACTGGACCGAACAGATGGATCAAGAAACTGACTGGTTTGTTCAAGTTTTAAAATTTAAAATGCAAAGGCTTCTGACATGATTTTGGATAGTGACTTTGGGCTTTAATCGAGTTGCAATTGACAGGGAAGGAAAGCATCATCTAATTAGAGGATGAAGAGTTGAAAAAGACACTAAAACAGAAAATAAAAGTCATTGGCAACGCAGGTATGTATTTCATGTTCAATCAAATAACTTCCTCACCAACTTTTAAATTCTCTTTTTCTTTTCTTTTTTTCAGTTCTAGCAGCCCATGACACCATGTTAACCTCCCCGGCAACTGGATGGCACCCTCAAAATAGAACTTAAAAGGTTCCATTGACAAAAGTTACCAACTACCAACAAGTTGACAACTACTAGCTGGGGGCTTGTCGGGTTGAAACCATTTACCTTGTCTATAAATTTCCCTGGCAAGGATGTGTTGCTGACCAGCAATTATTGACTGACGATGATGATTCAGCACCTCCACATGCCCCAAAGAGAAGAGAGAGGAGATATGTTTCTAGTACATTGCTGATTGTACTTAACAGGAAAATCATAAAACAACCAACACAGTGAAACTTAAAAGTCACAATATAACCACCAACAAGGTGGTTATAATCTGTGGTGAAATTTATTTTAGTTAAACCTCCTTTAATCCTTTTATGCTTCACCTTTCATTTGCTTCCTGCCTAGGCCAATTTTAAAACACTTCTACTTATTTACTATTTCCAACCTCTAAATAAGAGGCACCTACTTAATCTGATAAATACAGAAGGGAAAACATATATTCTCTGATATGTTAAGTATGACCCAATAGTTCTCCAAAACATGCATCTATAGATCAAAAAGTTTATGCATTCATTGTCCTGGACAGCTAGGTAAAGCTCAGATTTTGTACCTCGTTAACTCCAGGCAAATGGAGACCCAAATTTGCAGCTTGTTGGGGAGTACTAGCCATGTAAACGGCCGCCCAGTTATTGCTACCAAATGAGTTACTGTCTGAGAATCGACCAGAATGAATAATCTCATCAAATATCTGCCAATCTTTTTCAGAATTTTCGATGAGATTGTCACCATCTTTGACAGAAAGATTTTTGGCTAAATAGCCACTAGAGCCGCTCTCAAGCAGACGACCATGTTTCCTAGGAGAATGAGAAACATTGAACAACCAACGACCAGCAAAACACATGTAAAAACAAGTCTTACCTCCTTACGGGGTGACAGGATTGAAGGTACTGTTCAGCATCTTTAACAGATTGGTTAAGTTCACTAGTTGCCACAGAACCCACCCAGTGAGCCCTTGTTTTCCAAGCTTCGGTACGACATCCACCAGGAACTTGACTTTCTATCCATTTGTAAAGACTAGGGAGCTCAATTCCTGCTCCATCAAGTTGTTCCTGTCACAGGAGCATGTTATAAAGAACTAACAATTATGTTGCTCCCCTAGCTTCAGATACATGACAATGATCGGCTGTCGAGTCAAAATTCCAACAATTAAATGTTCCAAAGCTGGCACATAGTTTTACTTAAAGCATAAACTGCATATTCGTTTGCATTATTTGCATTATGATCTAATCGTTATCAATTGGATGACCAAATAAGAAGCAAAAAGGAACAGCATCATCCATGATCTAATGGATTATTCTATTTTCAAACTAATTTTGTTAAATGCACTATATCTGAAAGAATTAAAATGCTTCAGATTTTGCAGAACAAAATCATTAACAACAAAGCTAATTCACTAATAAGAATTAGAGGGAAAACACTAGTATGACAATTAATACTATGAAACTAAAACAAAAAAATTGTTTTTCCTACCAGAGCCGAGCGACCTGAGAAAAAAGCAGTGTTTCAAGAACTACATTCTAATTCATGTGTAAAAAGGAGCCGCAAGTTCTGATTTGGATACACTAAAACCTAGCAATTGTGACAAGTGACCTACCATTTCATATCAATATAAAAACTGATTGGTAGAGGCAATATTGTGAAAAGTAGCCGCAAGTTCTGATTTGAATACACTAAAACCTAACAAGTGTGACAAGTGACCTACCATTTCATAACAATATAAAAACTGATTGGTAGAGGCAATATTGTCTTTTTTATCAGTTATCAATAGCATAAGTGTCATCCATCAATGAAGTTGCAGAATCATCAACCTCTGTCATGGTTTTCCCATAAATCATGATCATCTACAGTTATCATGTGAATTCTGATAAGACAGTTCATATTTGAAGAAGCAGGTTGGACCCCAAAGTTGGTGTAAAGAACTGTGATGTAAGGAGAGGAGGTTTTCAACTAAAAATACAATTGGAGAGACTTCTCACTCCAAATCATAGCCAACTCAACCTCATCCACCACAATTGTCTAGTGCTTAAACTGAAGTTATAAACTCTAGCAGGTTTCAATAAAGCATTGCAAAATGCTGTAGACGGTAAGAACTTCACAACAGTCCAAAATTCTCATACCAGGACCTAGTAGTCGAAATAGCTTGTTTTTTCAAGTTATATTATCAAGGTCAACATTCATTTACTCCCTCCAAAAGCACTAAAGCAATTTTTACATTTTCTTACTCTTCCAAAACTTTGAAGTGTCTCAAAAATATTAATCATAATTAAAGGTCATTCACCAGAAAATATAATTCATCTAATGCAGTCTCTCACATAATTTCATATAGTATCATTTTATTTTAATTTTATAGCAATCAAATTAATTTATCTCCAACATCTTATCTAACTTCGTGTCACTTGTTCTAAACAACTTCTAACCAGATAATCTTGAGCACACTTTTCGCTGCATTGAACCAAATTAGACAACCACTGAAAAGAGCAACTACATGTATGTGGCTGCTATGTTCGAATACGACGAGTGTGCCTTCCTCAGAAGAATAAAATTGCATCCATCTCTTTGAAAATCTATATCCACACACATATATCCCTCTCCAGTTTATGAAAAGGAAGATCTAAACATCAGGGTTTATATACAGTTTTAACTTTGCAAAGACAAAAAGTCAGCTTAAAAATTATGCATGTCTTTGAGAGAGAGATTAGATTCTTAGCTCAAATATAGCCTTCATATTCAATAACATTATCCATGAAATAACAGAAGTGAAAGTTCTTTCACCTAAGGAAATCAATTTTGTCCGGGTCAGTATGTATCCATCTGTATTTACCGGCCTGAGCCGAAACAGAAACATGGACAGCCCCCATTTCGGGTAGTCCAGTCTGACCTTTTTTTTATAAAAAAAAGAACCCTTTAAAACCACATAAACTAAGGCTCATGTCTCTTCTCTATACGTGCAGAGCCCATGACCCCTTCTCTCTGTACATGTGTCGCCTACCGCTCACCATGGGCTGCTGACCTCGGGTATACTTCCTCCTCTTCTCCTCGTCCTCCACAGCCTTCTCTTCTTCCTCTCCCTCATCATTCCTCCCTCCTCCTCCTCATCCACCTATTCTTGCTTCCTCTACCTCAATCGTCTCCTCTTCTTCCTTCTTCCTCCATTGCCTCTTTTCCCTCCTCCCTCCTCTTCCTCCACCACCTCCTCTTCTTCGTAACTCTTCTCCTTCGGTACACCATTACCGCTCAATACCGGTCCATCCAGGGATCAGTATAATACCTTGGTACAAAATTGCAATCCTTGCTCTGACCAAAGACATATATATGTATGAATTGTCATTATGTGCATGATTACTTAATAACTTTTTAAAAAACTAGAAGCAGGAAATGAAACCAAGATTGCTTAAGACATTACATAGGTAGTAGTCACAGCAAAAGCCAACACCTCTACATCATCATACTGAATGCTTTAGTCAGATACATGGTCCAACAAGAATTACTCAAAAACAATTATCTGGAAAAGATTCAACAGTTTGTTCTTTCACCAGAGATATATATATGTATGAATTATCATTACGCACATAACTACTTATAAACCTCAAATATTAAAGCACGAAACAAAATCAAGATTGCTTAACACATTAGATAGGTGGTAGTTACAGCCAAAACCAGCAACTGTACGTCATTGGAATAAACACCCTATAATAAATCAATCAAGGTCGTCGTACCACGGTATACCACTCGGTACAAACAATACATACCTGTTTGATAGGGAACTAGTATGAGTGGTACATCAGTCAGAATGCTCGGTACAACGCAGTACAGCTTGGTATGTACCATACCGATAGTTAGTCGGTACACTAGTACGAACCGATAAGGGAAACCATGAAATCAATAACATTTTTTTTTCAGCATTATTTAAGATTTTATGTCAATTTTCTTTTTAATCAACTATCGATATATTAGGGAAAACTTACCAATAGTAGAGCACTCTGAGTCTCTAAATTATCAAGAACATCCTCCCATTCTTCTACGAGTACTTTCATTTCATTTGATACAGCTAATTCCAACTATGAGGAGAAAAACATTAAAAAAATCATAAGCATGTGAGAGAACACACACAATACTGCCCAATAAAGAAACTAAAATGAGAAATACCGCATCCCCATGGAGACTCTCAGCAAGCTCAGATCTTACTTCACGTTCCACTTGGGCAAGTGATTCTTGTTCAAGTGATTCTTGTGCCTCAGCTGCCTAAGAGAAGCATTAAACAACACATAACTGGCACCAACAAGATAAAGAAAAAAAGGAAAAAAAACTCAAGTATATGATGCAAACAAAACATACCTTGCTCTCAATTTCAAGAAACTCAGCAACAAGTTCTTCAACTTCCGCATCAGTTAAAGGTGCCTGATTAAGCACTTTCATCACCTAATTACTTGTACAAAAGAAATACACGAGAAAATAGCATTCATAAAAGAGAATCCTCACCTGAGAAATGTAAACACAACGATTAGTCAAATCATCACCTTGTCAAAGAAAATTATGAATTAATTCTAGGGCAACCTTTCCAATACCATCTCAGCAACTAATTGGCACAATAAACAAAAAAACAAAGTCACAACAATGTAGCTAACTAATTAAATACAAGCTTCAGATTGATTAATATAGTAATACACTAATAGCTGGAACATAGCAGCCAATAAGACAACAACAAAGAAACCACAAGTCCCAACTATTTGGGATCGGCTACGTAGATCTTTTGCCGTCATTGAGATATGTAAAAAGTCATATGTTTAGTTAAGTTTAGAGTATTTATATCTTTATGTATAGTTTCTATTAAGGTCTTTTTAGGTCTTCCTCTGCCTCTTCTCATACCACTAATATTAATCATTCCACCTTCTCTGACTTTCTGACTACCGCATCCAAAGGTCTCCTAAGCACGTACTCATACTATCTTAAATACTTTTATCTCATTTTATCCTCTATCGAAATGATACCTAGTTGTTCATGAACAAAAGTATTTCTTTTTCTATCGTTCATATTAACTCTATACATTCATCTCAACATTCTCATCTCAACAACACAAATTATATATATACATACATATATATACATACATATATATATATATTGTTTCTTAATTGTCCAACACTCAAATCCTAACACATAGCTAATAAGAAGAATAAAATATTTTATCGATATCAATGGAAGGTAGATCAACAGTCCAACTTGATAAGTGCATAATCTAAGCATTTTTCCTCAACTTTCAATAATTCCTATTGTAATAAGATTAATGTGTAACTCGTGTGTAAGACTAGTTACTATTAACCCAATTTGAACACTCATTATCATGTTTTCAGCATAAGCCGATTCAAATCCATCTAGCCAATCAAGATTGGGCTAGCACCACAAACCGAGAAATCAATTCCCAACAACAATCCATTTAATTCACTCAGAAACAAAAAAAAAAAGAAGGTCATGCTCTCGGAGAATGATACAATATAAGAAACAACTGTAATTTGTGAAGAAAGTATATGTCCAAAACAATAACTAATAAGAAGTTAAATAATAGAGGTTCAGAAGTTAGTTGCTTTTTACAACATTTCATGCTCTTATCACTTCAAGGAGGTATTATGTGATTATTTGACAATAAGATACATAAGTAAGAAAAAGTTAGCAAGCTGCACAGGATTCCCACCAACACAAGGTCTAGGGAAGAAGAATGCTTATGCTCATACCAGCAAGGAGGCTGCTTCCATATATCAAGCTTCCACATATCAAATCCTTGACACTCAGGTCATAAAGAAGCAAGCAATCTGTGACGTCAAAGCTTGCCCACCAAGATATAATGGTATAGCAATAACAACAACAACAAAATCATAAAGTCCCAAAGATATGATAGTACTAAACTAAATTTTTCAAGGTGAAGATCAAACAAATTTGTGATTCTATGACCACAAGACTAATAATTGTTTTAGTTACTTGGATAGAATTACGAGCATAGCTAGTAATATCCAAATTGAAGGAATTAATACTAAAATAAATATACTCATCAAAGACTATTTTTCTGTAAATCTGAGGTCTATTATATCTTCCATCAATGCTTTATACAAGTACATATAATGAAGTTCCCAAATTAGCTTAAACTTGAATATACTTCTTTTTTAACAAAAATCATGTCACTGGCCAAATTCAAACAAATAACCATGTAGGTGGCAACCAAATCTACCTTTCTTTGATAACAAGGAACCATTTCTTGATCTTCAGGTTGATAAAGCTAAAAGTCAATACCATTATATTCTCATGTGTGCAACCCCTAATGTTCCCGTGTGAACCACATAAGCTCTAATTTTTTCCAACAAGCCAACAGTTACTGACAACTTATGTCTCTATTCACAAGTCACCTAAACTCTTCCAGTTTAAAAGTGTACCACCTAGCCACTTGGACTTAAATTCCTAATGAAAACATGACATAGATTGGTACTAGCCCCTTATGATATTGGAACTTCAACTTAATTAACAATCATCAGCGAATCAGTTTTTTAGCCTACATTCTTTATCTCAAGTTTCGGATTGAACTAATTCGTTGTCAATAAATGTTGCTTACTTCAACTATGGTCACAATATGCAACAACTAAATCATCATTAGTAAATAAACAAAGTGAGGTCATTCTAATATGGCAAGAGCAAAGGCATCCCTTCATGTCCTGCAAATGCATGTACCCCAAGTCATAATAAGGCCACAATAAGAATGCTCTCCATCAAACAGACAAGAAACACAATCTAGTTCAACAAAAAACACAAGGCTCTTCCTATTACATCACAAAAGAGAACACACTATCAAATGCTATCTAGCTACAAAATTTTGTCTCCAGTCCAGTCAGCTCACTTATAAGTTAAAACACCAGTCTGACCCACAAAAAGCCTCAAGGGTTTAATAGTAGGAATGAGTGGCATGCTTGTTTCTATCAGTAACACTCGGGTAGACTGAACTATCAAACAAGACAACAACAAACACCCACCTAATCTCTTCTCCAGCTGGACAATACAGCCATAACACCTTCCGCCCAAGACACATCACACCGACTTTTAATTCAGTTCTACTTCTAACGCTGCTTCTTAGCCTAAAAACAAGGTGAAAGGCATTAGAACTAAATACCAACATGCCTTATGTTTAAAGTTTAAATTGCTTGTAATTGTAAAATTATTTTTCTCTCTTTTTTCAGATTTTTCACCATTGCAACACATTCACCAAAAACATGGTAGTTTCTAATGTTGGACTGACGGCCAAGACTCTGACCTCAACAAAATCCTTGCTCGCAGCATCTTTCCATCTACATTTGTCTTCTAATTTAAGTAATTAAGACCATGGTTGAGACATACATGATCAATCAGCTAGCATTTTCTTTCATGTCTGCCATCAACTTGCTATACAGGTATGCTTAGTTACATATTGTAAGAACCAACTAAAATTTATTTCAGTTATCCTAGGAAAACAATATTAGGAGGTGGCTGAAGTAATTTCAGACTTTGAGGCACAGAAAAAATTGGTCCTTCAAGTAATATTTATTTTTCTGTTGAATTTTGATTGACCGGCTAACATTTTCTTTCATGTCTGCCATCGACTTGCTATAAAGGTATGCTTAGTTACATATTGTAAGAACCAACTCAAATTTATCTTAGTTATTCCTAGGAAAAAAAATACTAAGAGGTGGCTGAAGTAATTTCAGACTTAGGCATCGAAAAAATTGGTCCTTCAATTAACAATTATTTTTCTGTTGAATTTTGGTTGATGTCAACATGACCTAGTGAAACAAAGAATGCTAAAAGGTCCAAGTTTCATATTACTGAGATTAATTTGCAAACATATCTTATTTCAAGAGTAACCAGAAGACTATGAAGTATGATATTCAATCAGCTATGTTGTTAAGAGATGATCGGAATTTGGAAAAAACTGCTGCACTAGCAATATGCATGGAAAAGATTAATACACAAAAAGTGCAACCAAGTTCTCTTCCTACTTATATCCCCATATAGAATTATTTTTTAACTCTTCCTATCTTCCTTTTATTCTTGCTCTGCATTTAGGTTTTTTATGCATCTTTTATGTCCGACATATATCATATTGCTGTCAAATCTATTTGCTCTGAATCAGGTAAGACTGATCATCACATCTAAACCAATGACGTAAAAATTGCTGCTTCACAATTCTTAGATACAAAATGCAACCAAATCAACATTACATCAGTAGAAAGTAGAAACTACAGACTTTCAAGGAATGCAACATTACATCAGTGAAAACGGCTGCATCAGTTCCGACCACCAGTCAAATCTAATATTATGAACACACACAATCAGATATATATCACCATTACCACTTCGGATAATAAAAGAGGGAGAAAAAATCTAGAGAAAAAATGGGAAGGGACAGGAGCTGGAAGCTACCATCCTCCTTTATTTCTTCTGTTCTCCTCCTCTCCTCCCAACACCACCTTCAAGTAGAAAAAAAAAAGCCAGCATTCCTCATGCAACTGGAAATGGGTTAGGATGATCTCCTTGTATGACCAGTTAAATTCAGCCTTTAATATACTAAAGTCACACAAGACTTGAAAGAGCTTCAAACCATTCATAATCTCAATTCTTGCAACTATAGGTTCCTGCATTAAATAAATCAGAGTAATTTCCGACTTGTCATCAAGTTGTTATTTCGTCGTCATATAAAATGACAACTTTTTTCAGCAGAACTTTTGACAAAGACTATGAGACAAAAACACCTACACAATTTCATATCAAAAGCATGTAAAATAATAAAGGGATCAAATGTAACTTTCTATTGCATGAACCAATCACAAATGAAGTCTCAACTCTCAACTTTGTTTAAGACAAAATGTAAATAAACAATGAAGTAATTTAAATAAAGATGTCAAAAGGTGTCACAAATCACCTCATTCTTTGCTTTGTCATCGTAATCAGATGCTGATGATTGCTCATTATCCGAATCATCAACAAGCATTTCAAAAGAGTCACTTGCCAGATCTTCATCATTATTGACTTTCTCCTCCACCTTTACTTCTACCCCCGATCCACTGCACTCCTTTGGTCCAATGTCACCCTCATCTTTGTTATGTTTCACAATATGAAGGTCTCCTTTTCCATTCTCTTTCAGGTGTACATGGTCATCTTTTTCTTTGTGTTTGTTGTCTATGCACTCTACCTCATTTTCTTCTTCTAACACTACCACTTCCACATCCATCGGTTTTCTTTCTTTGTTTATATGCTCAGCCATCTTTACTCTTTCTTTTGAATTTCCCTGCCTATAGCATCAAACCCCTTTCCATTGATTCATGCTTATTTCCTGTGTAAATCTCAATATCAGACACTACCAGATAAATTGACATAAATTTGATAGCAGACGGCAATCCTACTGACCACATGTCTTGCACTCAAATAACGGAAGACTGCATCACAAAAAAACAAAACATTAAGCTAGATGGATTAGAAAGAGATCGACTAAATTAGGCAAGTGTAACTTGTGAGTAATCGCATTAGGGAAAACAGTAAACCACACTAGAAACATCTTAACTCAAAACACTAAGCGCAGACAAATTAACTCAAGACACCGTTCACAGACAAATTAACTTGTGAGTAATCACATTAGGAAAAACAGTAAACCAAACTAGAAAATCGAAGTAAACCAAACAGTAATCACATTAGCAATTTTCACTACAAAAATACCACAAATTACTCGAAGTGAGAGATCTAACTTGCCTAAATAGGTTACTGCATTACAAATAAATCAAGTAAATAGCATAGAAATGTAATACATTTTCACTAACACATATGAAAAGGACAATTAAGCAATAAATTAGCAGCTTTCCTTGTTGATGACTGTAATGAATAAGGAAACAATATCTTGGCTAATAACAAACTCAATAATGGGTAGAATAAATCAGATGAGTGAACCAAGAAACCTTGGTCAAGATAAAATCTCATCACCCCACATGGTTGAGTGCCATAACCATTAAGTAGATAAATTAGAAATAAAAGCCTATGCTTACCAAGCTTCTGCATTTGAGGGTGTGGATGCTACAGTAAACAAATTGTACTCTATCATTAAAAATCAACCATAAAAGGCAATGAACTAGGAATTATGTGAAGGGAAGACTCATGGCAGGGGGCAGCGTAACCTTGTTTCACTTGTCTGAGACTGAATCACTTGAACTTAACGGATACTAAGGCTTGTAAGATTTCAGTAATTACTAACATAATCGAAAATCAATTGCTAAATAGCTGATTCTTTTTTTGTTGGCTAACAAGTTGTATGAATATCAAGCATGTGGAGAACAATTTGGTCGACCATTAACTCTGGAATGCAAGGAACTAATATAGATGAGTAAAATTCAAGTCCTCGTCAAATTAAATGCTCACTATTAAGAAGGGTAGAGTTCATCTTACTGAAATCAGAATCTAACAAAATAGCGCAGGAAAATTTCATATGGCCTAGAAATGTCTCTGCTTTCCTGTTGAAACAGTAACAGACCTGATTCCCAGTCCTTTTAGGGCAAGTCTTCTGATCACGAAAGGGATGAAACATGAAACAAATAATAAACAGTTCAAAAGTGATTTTTTTTTCTTTTTAAAACCTTCCAGAAAAACATAATACAAAAAGAATCGCATAAACCATTACGATTCCAAACCGACAAGCGTAAACCTAATTTTGTTCATCAGAGAAACACAAGCATCAACAGTCCTAAACAGAAACATCTCAACGGCAACAACAAATCAAAGAAAAAGACGACTCGTTCAAGCCGAAACCAAGTGTCCGGCGTCAGACCCTCAAGTATTTCAAGAATCTTGACAATGCGACCGCGTTCTGGCATGACTGTTAGCACTCCCTCGATCGCAAGCAAAAGTGGACTAGGGTTAAAGAACGAGACTTACCGGGACGAGCCAGGGTTCGGAGGCAAGCGGAGGGTGAAGGACCCCGGTGCGACGCCGAAGAATTCTTCCCCTTAGCTTGTTTCCTTTGCGCTTTTCCTTTCTTTTCTTTAGACGACGGGAAGGGAAACCGAGGCGAAAGCTGATGAGTTGCGAGGGTAGACAAGGCACTTCGCCCCCGAACGATCTTTTTACCTGATGGCGTAAACGATGGGAGGGTGTTTCGGGAATGGCGATGGGCCGTAGGCTCGACCGAACGGTGGCTTGGCCCGGTTCAAACGTCCATTAAATGGTCCACCCAAATCTATGTTGCTGTGATGGATTGCTTGTGGGCTGAACACTCCCATTAAATATCTCTAAAATCTCAGGAAAACAACGGATATAAAACTTGAGACTCTTTGAATTCTATGCGAGGATGAGAGATGGCAATGCTACCAATAACAATGATCTTGTTTGTGCAATATCCTAACATATAGATTTTTATTTATTTATTTTTTAGAAAAAAAACATTTCTAGCAAATATCTTGATGGGAGATAATCATGTGATAGCATAATTAAATATCATAACATTTAATTGTTTTTATTTTTGTTTTCATATTTTTTAACTTCCAATTATAATTAATTGTATATATATATATATATATATATATTAAACTAGGAGCTTGTCAAATTTTGGGAATGATGAAAAAATTCAAATAAAAAATTATCCAATATCTCGTATGAAAACAATTCAAGAGATTGGAATTAGGTATTTAAGATTGGGAGTAGGTAGAAAATTCAATTTAGGATTGATTGTAATATTGTTTATGATTTATGTCACAAATAAAACTAATTATACCGATTGTTTCTCATGTTAATAATTTGGAGCTAATATAGTTTATCACAAGATTGTCGATAGGCATGTGAATTCAATAAAACAACATATATGATAGGGAATATTTTGACAATCAATCTCAATTTTTCAATTAGTCAGCATTATAAAGACACTAGCATGAAGGAAAATAACTGAGTCATCTCCCATCAAACAATGACATGGGGGTGGTTACGATCTGTTGACCCTCGTGAATAATAATCTATGAGAGATCGTTCCGATTGGCCTCGTAGGTCTAGGTGGACAACAATCCATGGGAGATCATTTGAGTCTATCATATATTCTATCAGTTTTTACAGATAATAATCCATGGGAGTTCATTCGAACTTATCGCCCTCGTGGACAAAACGCCTAAGGGGATATTAAGGTCACTATAGAAGATCCCCCTCGAGTTGATCAGATATAAAAATTGACCCTCCGACATCGACCTAAGGGTCAAACCTTTTTTCAAAAACATCTTACACTTTATGTAACCTCTCGAACTAACATGTGCGTCGGATGCATCAAGTTAGGAAACTTCCCCCGACATTGACCTTTATGTAAGAATCTACCGAGAAGCCAAATTCAATCTCAACTCGATCTCGATACTATCTCAAATAGGTTGAGGTTGCAAAGACATCTCTATAAGAAAACTATATGGGGAATATGCTCATAAAATTCTTTATACTGAAGTTAGCATAATAGATTATTCAAAACAAAAAATGATATATACTAAAATCGCTCAAGAGAATTTAAGGAGTAAAAGAAATCACTAGAGTGATCTTTATCATTGAAAAGGACATTAATCAACAAAATTCACTTCCCATTGATATTATGGTAAAATGATCATACGAGGAGATTGCATATTAATCAGATAGAACCAAAGATTCGATCTGATTTACGTTTAACATATGATTAGACGATTTGAGTTGGTTGAGTCCAAAGTAAAAGTCTAAACGTGTGAAGTCAATTATTTCCTCAAAATAGAAGGTTATAATTAGAACTTTTAAAATTGAGTCATAATAATAAGTTATTATTTTATAAAATATAAAAATTAGAGAAGCTACTATGGTTGTTAGACACAACATAATAATAATAATAAGTCAATTTCATTTCTCTTCTATTATGAATTAGGACTCCAAAAGACTTACCAATTAAATATGATTAATTACATATTATCTCTATTATTAGAGATATTTAGGATCTTTATTTTTTATAATTTTAAAAATTACATCAAGATATTTATATTTATGAAAGTGAAATATTAAAAATACTACAGAGTTTATCATTGATATATACTAACTTTACCTATTTATTACCAATGTAGTATTTTCATTATTAAATATTTCACTTATATATATATAAGAATTTTAATATAATATTTAAAAATATAAAGATCGAAATAAGATAATTAATTATAGAGATAATATATAATTAGTCTAGTTAAACAACAATGCCCTTATTATTATAATATCTAAAAAATCAAATAAAAAAATCAAAGAACAAAATCAACAAAAATCCATGACGAAGGACAACCACCGCTCACCACATACCCTACTCTCTCACAACACCACATTAAAAGCTTCCCAAAAAAAAAACACATTAAAAAAAAAAGATGGGGATTGTTCCTCGAGCACGAGCTTTCCATCAATCAAATTCTCCCCTTATCTCCCACCCAATCCAAACCCCCTTCCCTCCCACCTCTCATTTCTTCCTCACCATCCACCCATCCAACGAGAGATCACCGAACAAAGAAGAGAGGAGGCTTCCTCTACCCCTTCTCCTCCTCCTCCTCCTCTTCCTCGACCACTCATCTTCTTACTGTCATCAACAAGCATGGCTTGCTCCAATCTTGCCACAACGTGGGCTTCCCCTAAGCCGTCAGACCACACCCACCTCTCCTCGCGCGCCTTCCTTGCCCCCTCCCGCCTCCTCTTCGCCCCGGCCTCGGCGTCCTCCCCGCGCCCGCCGCCCTCCACCGCCGTCTACTGCGGCCTCCGCGAGCTCCGCGGCCGCATCGACTCCGTGAAGAACACTCAGAAGATCACGGAGGCCATGAAGCTGGTGGCGGCCGCCAAGGTCCGCCGCGCCCAGGAGGCCGTCGTCAGTGGCCGCCCCTTCTCCGAGTCCCTTGTCGAGGTACTCTACAACATTAACGAGCAGCTGCAGACGGAGGACGTGGACGTGCCCCTCACCCGCGTCCGCCCCGTCCGCAAGATCGCCCTCGTGGTGGTCACCGGCGACCGCGGCCTCTGCGGAGGCTTCAACAACTATATCATCAAGAAGGCAGAGCAGCGCAGGGCGGAGCTCTCCGCCCTCGGCATCGCCTCCACTGTCATCAGCGTGGGGAAGAAGGGCAACACCTACTTTCAGCGCCGCCCCTACATCCCCGTTGACCGATTCCTCGAGGTCGGCAGCCTGCCCACCACCAAAGAGGCGCAGGCCATCGCCGACGACGTCTTCTCCCTCTTCGTCAGCGAGGATGTCGACAAGGTGGAGCTCCTCTACACCAAGTTCGTCTCCCTCGTCAAGTCCGACCCCGTCATCCACACCCTTCTCCCCCTCTCCCCCAAGGGCGAGATCTGCGACGTCAACGGTGTCTGCGTCGACGCCGCCGAGGACGAGCTCTTCCGCCTCACCACCAAGGAGGGGAAGCTCACGGTCGAACGGGAGACGGTGCGCACCCCGACCCCTGCCTTCTCGCCCATCCTGCAGTTCGAGCAGGACCCGGTGCAGATCCTGGACGCGCTGCTGCCCCTGTACCTCAACAGCCAGATACTTAGGGCACTGCAGGAGTCGCTGGCGAGCGAGCTCGCCGCTAGAATGACCGCCATGAGCAACGCCACTGACAACGCCATGGAGCTGAAGAGGACCCTCTCGACACTCTACAACCGGGAGCGGCAGGCCAAGATCACCGGGGAGATATTGGAGATCGTCGCCGGCGCTGAAGCCCTCACATGATCCATCTGTTCCAGGACTTCGTTGCCTCAGGTGTTGCTCCTTCTTCTTCTTCTGTTGCAAGTCATGTTTTTGATACATTTGACGGTGTGCTGCATGATTATTCATTCCCAAATGTTGGTATTCTAATAATATGATTCTATGATAGAAGATGTCAATGAAACTATGAGATCACGAAAGATAAATATATTTCATCGACATTGTTATTAATTTTTCATCTTTTTCTGATTAAATTCATCATTTAGTTCTGATAATTTTGAGGATCAACAAGTTTGGACAACTAAACTTGCATATGAGATCTATTAAAGATTAGTGAAAACAAGACCCAAAAAAATTGCCATTTGGACTAAAAGAATCATACAACATCTTGTAGTAATGATACCACTGATATGTTAGCTCTATTATTGGACCTTAGTACTTGGGATGAAGTTAGCATGCTGTGCTTCCCCAGGGCAAACCCTCAATTGGAGCTACACAGGCATGTGGTTCTTTCTCAAAAGGTATGCTGTGTGTCATTATTTGTGTTCTGGTTTCTTCGATATTTTGTAATGATTTCGTTCATCATGTTGTTCAAGAAACCTAACATCTGATTGTGCTGGAAAAAAAATAAATGACTGTAGGTTGTGTTGTCCCCTGTATCGACAACTTTTATATGTGAGAATGACATCTATCTGTAGTTCATGCGAAATAATATTTCTTGCACCTATTGAAAACAATGGAGGGAAGCCAGGATAGGATGCAATGTCAACAAAAAAAGGTCTGAAGTAGATTATCTGCATTTTGAGTTGTCACTGATGATTTTGGGCTTCTACCGAATTAACTTGTGGCACACTACAATATGCCTAAACACTAACCAGTCAAATGTATATTCATGATCACATTGGACCTTCTTTTTGCATCAGTTCTGAAATGAACTGCACAAATTGCCCTGGAACTGCCAAGAAGAGCTTATATTGTGTTGTTCCTGCACACAATTGCTTTTCCAAACCAGTTCCTTGTAATTTATGGAAATGCATGAACTCTTTCTCCTGAACCATTATTGATCAATCCATCAGCATTGATATTGTCACTATCTCATGCAACACAACAGAGCCCAGACAGATTTGTCCTGTCAATATGAGCAAGAGAGAAATACTTTTCAAAATGATTCCTTATTCCACTGGTATCAATCTGGTAATCAGTGCTGAGAGAGTTAACTGAATAATAATAGATAGATCAGTAATCCACTAGTCTTAATCAGGTACTCTTTGTTTGAACACCAGCCCCCAAACTCTCCCAGTCTTTTTTACCAGAATAGTACATCTGATTTAGATCATCTTAGTGCATGCAGAGTTGCAAACATGACATCCACAGTTGATCCATCACCCCACAATTATCCACCTGGAAGAAAAGAATCCTTGCACAGGGGACAGTAGATCATGGCCACCACTTGTGAACTGGTTGCCATACTTCCATGAGACTCTAATGATTCATAGCCGAAGTTTGATTGGATGTAGAGGAGAAAGAAAAAAAGATCAGGGTTTTGAGAGGAAGGAGAATATGTTCTGCCTCATATGAATCCAACTTTGTAGGAACTCCTTTCTAGTGCAAGTTCTAAGACCTCCTACCAAGTCATACAAAGCTGCATACAGTTCATTTCTCCAAAGCCCATGTTACCTGTGTAGAAAAGGAAGCTGAAACCATGAACTCCACAGAAGAAAGGTGCATTCCAGTGTACTTACCTTAGCTGTCTGAAAACATATTTTATGAATCTTATTGTTCTATGATTATGAGTTGTGGTGAGATATGGTCAGATATAGCTTTTTCTTCTGTTCTGAGTTGTGGATGAAGCAATGGCATGTCCAGGTCTGTGTTTGAACCATATGCTTCTAGTTAAGAAGGCAGACATAGGCCAAGACATTTATGAGCAAAGCAAGACTGAGATGAGTTACACAAAGCAAGCAAATGATGCTGGTTGAGAACATGAAGAGACTTGAATGACATTTTAATGTAGAGTCAATCTGTATAGCTACTCTAATTTTTCTCCTGAAGCACACATTTTATATAGTGACATAAATCATTCATCTCCTAGACATAGATTTAACATTCATGTACAACCACTATATCAAATTAGCTTTGGGCAATCATCTGCTAAGCTATAAAGTGAAGCTGGCATACCTAGTGATGTCATGTGAAAATTAACATTGGTTTCGGAAAACACACACAGAGGTTATGAAGATCATATCGAACTCACTTAAAAATAAGTTAAATAAATCAACGAGCCAGCCATCATAAATGGTTTAGCCAAGTCTTTTGTGACACAGCAAGAGGAGTAAAAGCTAAAATAGAGAGCAGCTGACGAAGTATCAGAAACTGTGTTACATCGATTGTCCATGAGATATGCCTGAGATCTTTTCTCTTCAGTGAATGCGGGTGAGATGAAGCATTACACTCCCAAGCCGTCGTCCCTCATCGCATCAAAACCATTATTCTTATTTTTTTTTCCCTTTCTCATAATTAATTAAAGATTTCCCATATCCATTTTTTTATTATTATAAATAACCCCCCCTCCCCCGCACTCCCATTGCGCCCAAATCCGCCTCTTTCAGCTCGCTTCGCTATCGCTCCCTCTTCCCACCACCACCACCACCAACCATGCTCCTCCACCACCGCCATCGCCTTCCCGCCCACATTCTCCTTTTCTTGCTCTCATTCCCTCTCTTGACGGCCGCATCGCCCTTTCCCAACTCCTCCCTGCATCTCGACGCTCACCGCGACCCCGATTCCGTCGCCCGCGAGGTCCAGAGGTAACCCTTTCCTCACAACGCCTGCTCTCTTCACTGTCTCCTTGCTCTCGGTTGCGGGCATTGTCATGGCCGTTTCGACGCTGTTTCAGGCAGGTGGAGTTCTCCCACCGGCGTGCCCTCCTGGCCGCGGGCGCCAAGGACCAGTGCGTCACCGGCAACCCCGTTGATGACTGCTGGCGGTGCTCCGGCTCGGACTGGCGGCAGGACCGGCAGCGACTCGCGGACTGCGGCATCGGCTTCGGCCGCGATGCCCTGGGGGGGAAGGGCGGGCCGATCTACGTGGTGACGGACCCGTCGGATCGCGACCCGGTGAATCCCGCCGCGGGCACCCTCCGGTACGGCGCCATCCAGGAGGGGCCCCTGTGGATCACCTTCGCCCGCGACATGACCATCCGCCTCAACGAGGAGCTGCTGGTGAACAGCTTCAAGACCATCGACGGCCGTGGCGCCGTGGTCCACATCGCCGGCGGCGCCTGCATCACCCTTCAGTACGTCTCCAATATCATCATCCACAACGTGCACGTCCACCACTGCGTCCCCGCGGGCGAGGCCAACGTGCGCTCCTCCCCCACCCACTACGGCTGGCGCACCCGGTCCGACGGCGACGGCATCTCCATCTACAGCGGGCGCAAGATCTGGGTGGACCACTGCGCGCTGTCCTACTGCGCCGACGGGCTCATCGACGCCGTCATGGGCTCCACCGGGATTACCATCTCCAACAATCACTTCTCGCACCACAATGAGGTGATGCTGCTGGGTCACAGCGACGACTACCTGCCGGACTCGGGGATGCAGGTGACCATCGCGTTCAACCGGTTCGGGGAGGAGCTGGTGCAGCGGATGCCTCGTTGCCGGCGCGGTTACTTCCACGTTGTGAACAACGACTTCACGGCGTGGCAGATGTACGCCATCGGCGGCAGTGCCAACCCCACCATCAACAGCCAGGGCAACCGCTACATCGCCCCCACCAACCCCGGCGCCAAAGAGGCAAGTCAATCCAAGTCTTGCCTCCTCCTCCTCCCTGCATCTCTGCTTCGTAGTTAAAATCTTGATGGAGGAACAACGTCGAACAGGTGACGAAGAGGGTGGACACGGAGGAAAGCGACTGGAGCGGGTGGAACTGGCGGACGGAGGGGGACGTGATGGTGAACGGAGCGTTCTTCGTGGCGTCCGGGCAGGGGCTTGAGGCCAAGTACGCCAAGGCCTGGAGCGTCGAACCCAAGTCCGCGGCCCTCATCGACCAGCTCACCGGCAACGCGGGCGTCCTCGGTGGGCCCAGGTAACAACACCCCCCTCTCTCCGGGCATTGGCTTCTATACCTTGCCCTTCGGCTCATCCATCCCCTTCGGGTCCTCCCTTTCCTGGGGCTTCTTTTCTCTTGTATGTGTGGGTGCACATAGCGTCTCGTACCCATCCCTCTTGGCCAGCTGGACGGCATAGAACACGATTAGCGAGGGTAAATGGGATGGGCGAATCAGCCGTTGCTACCCAAACACACAACTCTTTAGCCTCCAATTCGGACACGACACACAGCTGTTCGGTGGTCCGGTCAAGAACCAGAAAAAACTCTGGGCTTGTGGTGCCCCAGTTTTGTCCTGTGCTTATCTCACATCAGCCTTACTCTGCCTTTTAGCCTCATTGCCTTGGACTCGGGACCAATCGGTCATCGGTAACTTCACACTTCCCAGTGTACTTTAGTCCACCCGCCCGCTCTCATCTTCTGCGTGCTGTCGAGGGAGGGAAATGTCCTCTCGGCGAGACAGAATAATCGAATCCAGTGTCCTTTAGGGTATGCTTTTGCTCTTTATTTAAAGCATCGACGGTAAGCCCATAAAGTCTTCTGAGATTTAGGGGGAAAAGCTGTATATTTTCCCACGCGCTCTGACGCTTTAGGCTTACATTCTGTATTATGGTATACATATACCAGAAGTATATTTTACATTATAGATCAATACTAAAATTTATGTATTAGGTAAAGAAACGAGTACTGAATTCTTAAGCTTGTATGTTACTTAGAAACAGATCAGCCTATGAGTTCTACGATTTGTACCATATTTAAAAACATAATAGTTGTATGATAAAACATGATGAACAAAGATAAACTAGAATTAGTTTGAGATTATTTGTGTTAGGTAAATAATCTTGAGTAACTATAAACGATAGTGACCTATATTAGCTTATAAGTCTATGGATAACTTATTAAAGAACATAGAACAGCGTTGCCTGTGGGACCATCTCTGCCTCTAAGACAGGTAAGGCTGCAGTGTCCAGGAAAAAATGGATCGTCCCAGAAAGAATAGAATACAGAGGGGTGAGAAGGGCTTAAATTTATTGGCACTAATTTATAGTTTGATAAAATGGAGCACTCACTGTAGCTACAAGGTTTGCATATTATAAAAAAAAAATGAAAAGAAGACAAATGTCTCAGTAACGTTCCACAAGAAAGTGTTCTTTTCTCTGAGACGTTGAGGTCTTCAGGCTCCATCGATGCATGTGAGCATGGTTTCCTTTAAGAATCTTTTTAGGGACCACATGGTCCGCGCATGTTGGTCCGAATAACACGAACTTGTCCTCAGGGTGGGAAAAATGTTGTCTGGTGGAGTTTTCAATGCAGTAAGTGTTGATGGAAGTTGTTAGTTTCCCATTGTCAAAAGATATAGACTGATTAGTTTTTGCAAAAGCTGAATACTTAACCAGTTTTGCTAGGAGGGAAAAAATATGTCTCCCATCTTTGACTCTTGTTGGGAAATGAATCTTTTTGTTTTCCTTCTACATGGGTTTCGAGGGATAGAGGTGGGGGTCTTGTGGTGTAGTTTGCCTAATCTTATGTGAGATGTACTTCTCATGTTTAACAAGAAGTCGACAGAAGAAGCTAAGCACTTGTTTCTCTTGGAAAATGCTACTTGGACTAAATCATTGTGGAGATTATATTGTCACTTATATATCTGATGTGTGGGATCCGCACATAAGAGCTATCTGTGAGGCTAACAGCACTCCTCACAGTTTATCCAAGTAGAGCATCCATTTTCTTTAGATGGAGGCCTTTTCTGCTTCCATTCTCAATGTCTCGTTTATTATAGGCGAAACCGACAAAAATTGCAACTTTGAACAAAGTGTAGAGTTAATTGATTAAATAGATGGTATGTCTTGACTTGGAAGCCTTTAGAAAAGCGAATAGAAAAGACACTAACTCACTAAGGATCTTGTTTGTTTCTCTGTCTATTTCAAGTGAGTATTCGCCATAATGATTTAAGTAATTTTCAGTTACTTGATTGCATTATTTAACTGTATATTTTTATTGGTGTTTCTAAGCTAGATCTCTGTAAAAAGCTTATATAGTGTATTCACATATCATGTAATCCATGCTTAGGTACAAATCCTAGCCAATATAAATTTTGTTGTAGATTAAGTTTCCATATCCAGAATCCTTTGGTTCGGTGTAGCCACACTATACTTCAAACCTCCACATTCACTATGTAAGTTGTAAAAGTATTGCTTTTCTTTTTTTGCAAAGGATAAGTAGCGAGAAGCGGGATTCGAGGTTGAAGTCTTTACTAAGCTAAACATTGTTTTTTTATCTTATATGCACTATACAAAGCTAGATTAATAATAAATTAGATCAATCTGGTAAGTGCAGTGGAATTACATGAAAGGTTGCAGAATTCCACATTCATTTGTCAAGTTGTTTTGAAACCTGTGGTGTGTTTCTAGTTACGATCCCATCTTGTTGTGAGTTATAACAACAACTCATCCAGAAAATTACCAAACTGTGCTTGCCTCAATGACTTAATTTAGCACTCGTTGATCTAGTGTTTTGCTTTCCGCAGGGGATTTGCAATTTATCTTGCTTGTTTGAAATGTTTTCAAGTATTAATATTGTTAGAATTATTACTCATTATGATTCAAGTTAATTAGTCTCTGTTGCGTGGTTGGATTTGTGTCTAAAAAATGAACATGTAAAGCCTTGAGTTAACTGGTACTGTAACTTGTCCTATGATCATAGCTCATTCAGCCTTCTTAGGTGGGGTTAATAGGCGGAAGAAGACAATGACCAATAGCCTAGTTTCTAAGCTGCAATCACATGGAAAGGAACATGATTAGAACAGTAAACTCCAAATATTTTTATCTACCCTGGTGCATTGCGAAACTGAGAAACAAGTTCTTGTCTGAAGAGAATCTAATCTAACATGCTGCTTATATAATGAATGCACTTGTGCTGCAGTGAGAGATGATAGAGGATAATAATGTGTGCTTATGATGGGACAGGGACAACAGCGTGGGGCCGGGGAACTCCGGAGTCAACTATGTTGGGTCCGCCACCACTCAAGACGGTGGCGAAGGCGGATATGGGTCCCTTGGTATGGTGTTTGCAAGCGTCGCGCCACCGCCATCTGCTCCGCCAATCTTCTCCTCCGTCAGTATCTTCTTGTCTTTCTATTTAATTGTCGCAGCTCTCTTCTCTCTTTGTAGACCCTGAAGCTGAAATAGAAAAGCCTTGTTGTTTCGGAAGATCAAAAAAATGCAGATGTAAATGATTCTCTTGTAGTTTGATCTAATTGCCATCACAGTTCTCTACATATATATTTCAAGGGATTAATCCATATACAGCTTAAATTGATAGGTCAATTAGAAATGGATTATAATATTTGGTATGAACAAATCTATAAGATAGATTTTGAAGAATTATAAACCCACTAACATTGCACATTTTTGTCTACACATGGGAGATGTATTGACATCAAATCTGCCTAAAGCTATCCACAACACGTTTGCTCCAAAATCAAAGGTGAAATATTATCGATTTCCGTGTATAAATTTATCGTGTTTGCTGATCGACATCCATATTTTGCATGCCTACCGAACAAAAATAATCTTCAAGGATTCACGCCGAAATTACTTGACGCTTTCGATAGGGTCATCCCCTCTCTCCTATTCGATCGACTGTTTATGGTCTCTTTATATCCATCATGCAACAAAACCATGTCAGGGGGGAGACGATCATTGTCAAGCTACCACCTCCTCCTCCTCCTCCTTCTGTTTGCCTCTGGTTAGTGTCATTTAAATGCTACGTCAATCTATTTGATGCAAGTCTCTTCTCCCATTGAAACCTGAACTGGTAGTTTCCAATAAAAGCTCACCTTTTCTCTTGCGTTTCTCGTCTGGAGGAGCAAACGCGAGGCGATTCATCGTGGACAATCAATGTAGCTACTCAATCTGGCTTGGCTCCATCCCCTCCATGGGCCTGGGAGATTTCCAAGTTGAGTCAGGCACCGTCATGTACAACTTCGCCGACGACGGGTGGCGCGGCCGGCTGTGGCTCCGCACCCACTGCACCACCGACAACCACGGCATCTTCTCGTGCCTCACCGGAGACTGCGGTTCCGAGGTGCAGTCGTGCGAGGGGAAGCCGGCCAAGGCGCCCGTCACCCTCGACTTCCTCAACTTCAGCGGCAACGACACCCAGTACACCTACGACGTCAGCCTCATGCACGGCTTCAACGTGCCCGCCATGGTGTACCCTCAGAACTCCTCGTGCGAGCCGACGGGGTGCCCGGCCGACATCAACGCCATCTGCCCCAGCGACCTCCGGGTGAAGGACTCCGCGGGGAAAACCATCGCCTGCAACAGCGCGTGCGACGCCTACCGAGACCCGAAGCTGTGCTACATCAACGAGTACGGCAGCCGCGCCAAGTGCCAACCTTCGTCGCAGGCGAAGGTCTTCATGCAGGCGTGTCCTTTGGCGCACACATGGACGTACGACGGCAGGGCCTTCGCTTGCTGGGGGTCGGACTTCAACATCACCTTATGCCCCAAAGTTTAGGGTTCTATTGGATTGATCACCCTATCATAATGGTTTAATGGTTCAATTATTGGGATTAATATTTAGTTAAAGCATGAAAATTTTTCCTGTCAATTTTGTTGGGATTGGAGTTTATTTATTAGATTGATTACTCATCAATCTCGATTTTTTTTTGCAATATTGACTCAATTTCTACCCAAAAGTGTCACTTTGATTTTATTATGACTGTATATAATGTAAACTTGTCCTTATATAATATAATATAATATAATATATCCATTCAATATTAAAATCCTTCATTGACTTTAACATCCATCCCAAACACCAAATAATTCATTTTGATTAATGAATTAAATAAATAAATAATCATAAAATTTTAACAACATAATCAGTTTTTAAAAGAAATTTTATGTAAAACCAAAATTCTAATCAATAATCCACTTATTGTATGATATTTTATAAAGCTTTGGAGGAATATACATACTAAACCCAAAATTTGAGGGATAAATATAGAATTTACTAGCCTTGAGGAGATATATCTGTAATTTATTGAAATATACCTAAACAAAATTTGTCATGAAAGCATTAACATTATCATATAATTGACATTAATTTCTTAAATTAGTCAAGTATATAAAAAATAAATGAGGTTCCAAAAAGGAAGAAGGGTGATTTGATTGAAATAAGGGTGTTATTGAGAGAAAATAAAATTAGGGGAAAAAATAATTTATTATGATGTTAATTTAATTCTAAATAGTAATTAACTCATTGAATATGGCATATAAAATTTAAGGTTTTAAAGGAATATTCATGCTAAATACAAATGCCATAAACATCGCACTAATAAGATATATACTATTTGATTGACATATATAAAAATTTATTGACATGCATACATTAAATTTGCTCTTCAAACATGTCAAGAATTTGTTATACTCCAATAATTACGACAATTTATTCTGATTGCCGTTTTTGAGACCTTCCCCGTCAAGAACAGTCGTCTCGTCTTCTATATAACTTTCTACCCTCTTCCATCCGCTGCATACGGTCTCTTTGTCCATCACACATCAAAACAATGTCGGGAGGAAGTCGGCTACTGTCAAGCTATCTTCTTCTTCTTCTTCTTCTCTTTTCTTCTGGTTAGTATCAGTTAAATCCTTTGTCAGTCTATTCTACATGCATAGTCAAACACTGCATGCATGTCGCTGCGACACCTCTTTGCTGCTGATCTTAGTTTGTGGTGACCATGGAAGCTTTCTTTTGTGCTTGCCAGGAGCAAACGCGAGGCAGTTCACGGTGGAGAATCGATGTAGCTACACAGTGTTGATGAGTTCCATCCCCTCCATGGGCCTCGGGATGTTCGAGATCGGTCCCAATGAGGTCATGTTCAACACCGCCGACGACAGTTGGCGTGGCCGGGTGTACTTCCGCACCTACTGCACCACCGACAACCACGGAATCGTCTCGTGCCTCACCGCCGACTGCGGCTCCGGCGAGCAGTCGTGCGAGGGGAAGGCGGCCAAGGCGCCCGTCACCCTCCTCGACTTCCTCAACTTCAGCGGCGACGACACCCAGTACACCTACGACATCAGCCTCATGCACGGCTTCAACGTGCCCGCCATGGTGTACCCGCAGAACTCATCGTGCCAGCCGACGGGGTGCCCGGGCGACATCAACGCCATCTGCCCCGACGATCTCCGTGTGAAGGACTCCGCGGGGAAAACCATCGCCTGCAAGAGCGCGTGCGACGCATACCAAGACCCGAAGCTGTGCTGCATCAAAGACTTCGGGAGCCGCGCCAAGTGCCAGCCTTCGTCGCAGGCGAAGGTGTTCATGCAGGCATGCCCTTTGGCGCACACTTGGACTTACGACGGCAGGGCCTTCGCTTGCTCGGGGTCGGACTTCAACATCACACTGTGCCCCACGGCTTAGGAGGGCAGGAGGAAGCCATTTTTCCGGTTTCATAGATATTATTATTCTCTGCAATGGGAGCCACTTAAGATCTTTGGTATCAACCTGAATCGAAGTCCAAGATAATAAATTTATGTTTCTTGATTTCCTTTTGTTCTTCAAATTCCTAACATAATCCTAATATAGTGTCTACGGATTCTCTTGTGTTTTTCCTAATTTCCCTGTGATTTCAATAACAAAGTAGGATTACGATATGATTTCACTAATAAATTATTTACTTAATTAATCATGTTTGGACTTAGTAGAGTGCTCTCTCTATCATCATCATGTAATATAAAATGCCCCCAATATTTGCTCTCATCTTTGTATATATATATTTTTTATCTCCATCTTATTAGGGGCGAGCCACGTAAATATAATTGATATTCTTATCTAATTTCTTGAAAATTCATTTGGTGTTTAACGTAAGGGTATTATAATTCTTAACTTAAATAAACTAATTTTAGCCACCGGTAGAATTAATTAACCTATATTTTCTTAATGAATGTTTACCGATATAACACAGATTCCATGTTAAAAAGTATATACCGATAATAATCAAATCTCCAAACATTGCAAGTATGCATATGAAACACTTCACTAACAATATTATTATCAGCATTGGACCCGAAAGAGTTTCCTAGCAAATATAAATTAATATATCTTTAAGAGCTCATTTAATATCTAAAATACGTATATATATATATATATATATATATATATATATATATATATATATATATATATATATATATATAATTGATGAGGACAATGAATGGTGACAAGACCCGCGCAGACGTCAGCTGTCCCAGACGACACCCCACGCCTCGAACGACCCGACGGAACCTGGCCAAACGAACCAGAACGCGGACCGAGGCCCATTAACGACCTGTTCAGACTCTGTTCTTCACGCCAACACCATCATAAGACGCAACCCGCTCCCTACAAGCGGTTGCATCAGATACGGTAAATCATCCTATAAAAACCCCACCCCTGGGAAGGGCGAGGGGGGGGGGGGAGAAAAGTGAACCACTCTATTCCACATCACTAACTTGATCGTCGGAGGGGTCGGGCCGAGCTATCGACTCGACCTGTGTGCAGGTAAGAAGGCGAAGCTATCTCCCCGGAATGCCAAGGAGAGGGAGCCTCCCCCATGGGACGTCCCGATTGGCCCAGACGTGATCTGATCCGCACGGTCGGCCACTGCAGCAATCCCGAGAGACCTCGAGCAAAGATCCCCGCCATTCGGCCCCGAAACAAGCCGCATCGGCCCCGAGGCCACGGCACAAAGTTGTTTACACTAATAATAATAAACAAATCTTAACCATTGTTAGAATTGGTTAACCTTTTTTTTAAGCAAATATTAATGATATTAACATAGATGCTACAATTAAATATATTTATTGAGTTAAGCCTAAATCGAAACAAATTAACCAAGAAAAAATATTAAAAAGGATGGAAAAAAACTTTCATATTTTTGAAGTGTAAAACTATAAAAAATATGATCTGCGGGAGAAAAATAAAAATATGACATTATTATGGAAAAAGCTAAAATAATGGTTTTTTGGGCAAAATTCCTTCAAAATTTATTATTATTATTATTCTAATCCTAATCATGCTCATCATTATGCCGGTGTTTTTCAAATTTCAAACTGCGCACCTCTTCAAACTGACAAGTGAATCCCTGCCTTCGCCTGTCATCCTTTCTCACATCCAGATCAAATCACAACCGTCAAACTTCTCATCGCCGCTCTATATCAGACTCCACCTCGACCCTCAGGAGTGGCCGCTCTTGTCGCTCGCTCCTCGTCTCCATCGTTATCTGGTGTCCCGATAACGCTCTCGCTCTTCCCCTTCTTACGGTTTGCTCCCCCTCTTTCCTCCCTCTCCTAATACTTAGGGTTCTTTTTCCTGTGATTCTTCTTTTTAATGCCTCGTATTCTGACTCGAGCGTGGTGATTTTGTTGCTGTTTTTGCCGTGAAATCGATCGGTCGAGCAGGCGTGACATCGACATGGGTCAGATCCAGTATTCGGAGAAGTACTTCGACGACACATACGAGTATAGGTGTCCCTCGCCTTCCCCTTCCCTTTGGAGATTACGAAATCCCTATTTCGACAAGAACTCTTCTCGATTTAGTCTCTAATGTTCACGATTACTGTTTCTCGAGCGCAGGCATGTGGTGCTCCCTCCGGAGGTCGCCAAACTGCTCCCCAAGAACCGTCTCCTCTCCGAGGTAAACCAAATCCGTCCTTGCGCCCGGGGGTTCCCTCGATCATCCTGTATGAACTTTCTTGTGGTCTTTGATTGTGGTTGTCCTGATCGAGTGATTTGTGGTGGGTGCATTAGAACGAGTGGCGGGCGATCGGGGTGCAGCAGAGCAGGGGTTGGGTGCACTATGCGATCCATCGCCCGGAGCCGCACATCATGCTCTTCCGGCGGCCGCTCAACTACCAGCAGCAGCAGGTGAATCACGCCGCCGCTGTCCAAGCCACCCAAATGCTTGCGAAATGATGTTGCTGTAGCAACAGCGAAAGAAGGAAGAAGATGCCTTTTTTCACATGTTGCCATTTCCTTTCCTCGTTTTATGGCTTTCTCGGTCGTTCGTTAGTCTACCTAAAGAGTAATTCTCTATCTTTCTATTAGTAGTATCAATATGTCTATGATACGAAGAAGGTCACTGTGGATGCATGTGAACATGGAACTTTAATATGGCCGGTCTTCTTAATCCCTCCTCTCCTTTTCTTTCCTGCGCTTGAAAATTATTATATTAGAGGTTCTATTTAATTTAAGATGTGAATTATGTGGTGTAAAAGCATGGTTTTACCGCTTGCTGGCTTTGTGGTACTTCAAACTTTGTGGACAATTTTTGGTGCAGGGACTCTATGTATTGGATTGGATGACAGATTATCTGTGCCCTTTTCATTGGTATGCAAGCTTTGTCTTGTTTAATACTTTGCTTGATGATATTGTGCAAAGAACATTAATTTTATTGTTTACTCATGTAAAGCATCCACTATATTGTTTTGGTCAGGGATTATTTCAGAATTGGTTTCCAACTTGATCTGTGCCCTTTAAATGGTAAAGAAGGTTTGTTGTCTTCAGTCTCTTGTTTGGTGATGTGATGTTAATAAAATTGATTTATTGTTCACTTAAAGGATTATAGGACTATTCTGACTGCATTGTCATGGAAAAGGTCACATATATACTGCTGTGTATAAGTTTGTGTCTGATATCAGCTGCTGTAGCCACCATTGCGAGCGCAGTTAGGCTGTAGGGAATTAGATTGTTCCAGTCTTGTTTGGTGATGTTATGTTAATAAGATTGATTTATTGTTCACTGAAAGGCTTATAGGACTATTCAGACTGTATTGCCATGAAAAAGGTCACATTTATTTATACTGCTGTTTATAAGTTTGTGTCTGATATCAACAGCTGTAGACTCCATTGCAAGGGCAGTTTGGATGTAGGGAATTAGATTGTTCCAGTCTTGTCTGGTGATGATATGTTAATAAGATCGATTTATTGTTCACTGAAAAAATTATAGGACTCTTCAGACTGCATTGCCATGGAAAAAAAGGTCACATTTATTTATACTGCTGTGTATAAGTTTGTGTCTGATATCAACAGCTGTAGACTCCATTGCAAGGGCAGTTTAGATGTAGGGAATTAGATTGTTCCAGTGAAGTTACAATAGGAGTTCTAAAATTGGAGGAATTTGATTGATACACTATCAAGCTATATTAACTGCTCTAGCCTCTATTACCCATGATGTAGGGATTAGATTATTTAGCTTGAAGCTGTAATTGCAGTTCTTATATTGGAGGAATTAGAATGATACACTATCAAACTAATAGTTGATGCTACTTTTGGTCTGACCACAAAGAAGTAGGAGGCTTTGCTTTAGTCTTGTAAATTTTGGAAAGATATATTTGTTATTGTAAATCTTAATATAGTGTTCATATTTCTATACCATTCGCTTGTGTCATTGTCATGAACCTTCATTTAAGATGAAATCATTTATCTCGAGTTAATATCAATTGCCAATATACCTTATTGGTCCTAATTATTTTTACATCCAAATGAGTTTTATGAGGTTGAAATTTAACTAATAGTTGAATTGTGAAGTGTTCTGTAAGTTCTTTGGTTTTTGAAGAAATCCAAAATTTTTTGACTTTGAGGGAGAGTTATTATTTTATTAAAATACTATTATTTGATGTTGCAAAATCATTTAGCATATAAGATCATCCCAAATGAATTGCAATTATTTCAAGTCAGACACTATCGAGAAAGCTATTGGGATGCAACGTCATGGCACGAGGAAATCGATGCCACTTTGTTCAGATTTGTCCACCGGGCTCGGGTGGGACACAAAGTTAAGATACTTCCAAGCCTCATCTCTGTGGATCAAAATGGTTGCTTCCTTCGTCACGCCTAGTGGTCGAAGACATGTTTCCCCTTACGCCGTGCCTCTCTTTCCCCGCTGTTTTGGATGTATGAAACTGTGGGAAGAACGGCTGCGTTTGCATTGTATGTAGTGTGGAGTTACAGTGACCGGAACAACTTTGACTTGGCATCCCGGAGGACATGTAGTAATTGAGTTCGCAGGGCCGAAACCGTGGGCGTCTCATTGAATACAGGATTGAAGCATGCATGCACAAGTATACGTGTCCAGTTATTAACCATGGAGTTATATTATATTATATTATATATATATATATATATATATTCTTGAATTACAATTATATTAATCATATTTCATGTTTTTGTTGTATATAAATCCCAATATTTATAGAACCTACAAAACATAATAATAAACAACTTCTTTTTCTGTTCCAAACCCCCGAAAAAATGGCATCTTTTCTCTACCTCTCTACTTCCAACTGCCTCTTCCAGAGACCTCCTCCCTCCCTCTTCCCTGCTTCGGCCATCTCGCCTTCTTCTTCTTCTTCTTCTTCTTCTTATAAACCCCTTCTCCCCCGGCGCCGGCGGCGGTCGCGCCTCTGTGTGGCGACCCCCTCTTCTCCTGCCGCGCCGACTCCCGCCGTGGAAGAGAGCCAAGAAGCCGAGGAGGCCTCGTCGTCTTCGCCGTCGGAGTCTTCGTTCTCGTGGAGGGATCACTGGTATCCCGTCTCCCTCATCGAGGATCTCGACCCTCGGGTCCCCACCCCCTTCCAGCTCCTCAACCGCGACCTCGTCCTCTGGAAGGACCCCAACTCCGGCGATTGGGTCGCTTTGGACGACCGCTGCCCCCACCGTCTCGCCCCACTCTCGGTAAATTACTTTTTCTGTCCAAGATCCCTTTTGTGTTTCTGCTAATTTGGACTTTCGATGTGTTTGCGTAGGAGGGGAGGATCGACGAGACCGGTTGCTTGCAGTGCTCGTATCACGGGTGGTCCTTTGATGGGAGCGGCTCGTGCGTCCGGATCCCACAGGCCTCGAGCGAGGGGCCTGAGGCGCGAGCTGTTCGATCGCCGAGATCTTGCGCGGTCAAATTCCCCACACTTGTCTCGCAGGGTATGCTGTTTGTGTGGCCCGATGAGAACGGGTGGGAGAAGGCGGCTGCCACCAATCCCCCCATGTATGTTCCGTTTCAGGACCAGAAAAAAGATTCAATCTTTGATATAATGAGGCGGAATTATCATTTATACGTTGGCTCGCTTTGACTTAGGTTGCCAGCAGAATTTGATGATCCCAATTTCTCGACCGTGACTATCCAGCGTGACCTGTTCTATGGGTACGATACGCTGATGGAGAATGTCTCAGATCCGTCGCATATTGATTTTGCACACCACAAGGTATGACCTCTTTTACATGTAATACATTGTATTGATGTAGACGGCAGCCAGTACTTCTCAAATATGCTTATCCTCAGATGCTCTACAACCCCTAATCTTGCCCCCGAACAGTACTTCCAAGACATATCTTAATCCATGTTGTTGCTCTCAAATATTATTTTGTGCTCTTTTCATTTCTAACCAAAAAGAAGGACTAGTAGAGAATCATACTCATATATTCAAGTTCTTTTCTGAAAGTGGTTTTGTGGCTCAAGTTTGCTTTCTGACCATGGACATGTTTTGTAGAAGTCACTTAACCTCCACTATTGTCTGAAGCCAGATCAATGAATTTGTTTTATACTGATTACTAGTAGGTAAATTTTGACTTCCTAACATAGTGCCTTTTACAGGTCACTGGAAGAAGGGACAGAGCTAGGCCTTTGCCATTTAAGTTGGAGTCTAGTGGCGCTTGGGGATATGCTGGTTCAGATGCTGGGAATCCACGTATCAGTGCTAAATTTGTTGCCCCTTGTTATGTTATGAATAAGTGAGTTTCAATTTAGGTATTCTTTTGTCAAACTTAGTTATGTTATGAATAAGAGGGTTGAGGTGGTGGTGGAGAATTTGACAATGATAAAAAGTTGTTACTTATAGTCATATTTTCTTTAATGCTGTTTCTAGGAGCATTGTGAAACAACCTTAGTTGTCTACTTTTTCATAGTCCATGTACTCCTGCTAATGTATTTTTCTTGTCTAGTAGAGATTTTTGAAACAGTAGATTGAACAACAGGAAATTAGAGTGTGAAGGGAAAAAAAAAGAACATCCATTCAAGAACTTATGTAACTGTGAATAGGAACAGTTGCTTTGTTTCTTATGATTGACATAGATAAAAGCAAAAGCTGGATGCTAGATGAGTTTTTTGATAGTGCACATCGATTTAATAATTAAGCAAACAGCGTCAACCCTATTCTCTTGTTGACTGAATTAGTAACATGTTTTATTAACTTCATACCAATATTTTGACCCAAAGGAATAAGTGACCATATCAGATTATACTCCAATTTCAGCTGGAGTTGCTGCACTTAGTTTTTTGCTGAGGCAACCAAGCAGATGAATGACCCTGCATCTTCTTGAATTGATCCCTCCCACATTTTACAGATAACAAGCTGGTATCAAGCAGAAGTAACAAATTGTTTAGGTAAAAGATGAAATTTTTTTGCGGGCTGTCAACTTCTCCACTGCTTGTTTCAGAAAGTGCCCCTGGTCTTTGACATTTTGACAATGTTCATGAGTTCTATAGTAATAACCTACTAGATATTCATTTCTTTCTTTTCATGCAAACTTCTATTTTGCATATAATCTGCATAATCTTATGCAGTTGTATCAACTGCTTTTTGCTTATCTATAAAATTTGCACATTTGTGGATCATGTTGCCTTATCTCTCCTTTTGATTTTTTACATTGCAAGTTCTGTTAAAACATTTTTAGTTTATAACACAATTCTTTCAAATAGTGCTTGTGAAAAGTATATCCACTTGCTTGATTTCATGCATTATTTTACAGGATAGAGATTGACACAAAACTGCCATTTCTTGGTGACCAAAAATGGATTATATGGATCTGTTCCTTTAACATTCCTATGGCCCCAGGAAAGACTCGTTCGATCGTGTGTAGTGCTCGTAACTTTTTCCAATTCTCAATGCCAGGTCCTTCCTGGTGGCAGGTATATTAGATATGCTCATAAACTTGTAATTTAGTACATTTATTTTGCTTGCAGGTATATTAGTTTCCATTCAGCCATCTGACGTGGAAAAATATTTTATGTTCTTTTTTTTTTGCTATGGTTTTAAGAATTAATTTTCTGGCTAGTTGCAGACATGTTTTTGATCTTTGAAGTCCATATACTGCATTTGCCAGGCTGAAATCTCCTTATAGATCCAGAAGGTGATGTGTTTGGATCGAATTTATGGTTCAAGCATATTTGGGCCGTTATGGTTGTAATCAGTTTCTACTAGCTACTTCTATTGTTTTAAAAAGACCCTTCTATCTTTATTAATGGGTTAATGTAAGGCCTGAATATAACTCTTTTAGGCTAACTGGGGCATGGTAAATTGGTGATCTATGTACTTTGATGATTTCATCCACGTCTGGTCATTTATTGTGGCACTGTCAGCCCATCTCTTATTGTGGCATAGTTCCATGTTATCTTACTGAACATTTGGAACTCAGGAATCACATTGCAAATTAAATAGAGTTACATATTGGCTGTTTTTCTGGTTGGACTTTTAATGTGATTTATAATATAAAATATTTCTTTCTGATGTTGAGATGTGAAAAGTAACTTCAGATGTCTGTGCTTTTTTGGTACAGCTGGTACCCCGCTGGTATGAGCATTGGACTTCAAACAAGGTCTATGATGGTGATATGATTGTCCTCCAGGGTCAAGAAAAGATATTTCTTTCTAAAATGATGGAGTCTTCTACTGATGTCAATCAGCAGTATACGAAGATCACATTCACACCGACCCAGGCTGATCGTTTGGTTCTAGCATTTCGGAATTGGTTGAGGAGATATGGCAATGGCCAGCCAAACTGGTTTGGCCATGCTAGCCATCAGCCTTTACCTTCAACGGTCCTGTCCAAACGTCAGGTGTGACTTTCATTAATTTCCTAAATCTTCACATTTTAGTTGATCATGAAAATATTTAATTGTCCCATTGCTTCTGAAATTACCTTTAAGTCTCCCTCCGAGTAGTGGGATCTTTGGAACTCTATTATAAAGTGCAAAGATAATTTAGTATCAAGTAACATTTAGGGAGAGAAGGCATCATGTTTGGGATTTAAGATGATCTTCTGTTTAGTTCCCAAAGTTACAGCTTTGGCATTTGAACCTGATACTTCTTGAAAATATTTTGCTTTTTAACATCCTTCTTTCCATAAAAAATATCCATTAATTTCTATTGTCTCCCCTGTGAATTTTAAATATTTAATTGCTACTGGTTATCACATAGAAATACAAATGTTTTAGTGATTAGTTAAAAATAACCTCATAATATTTCCAATTAGTAGAAGAGAAAAAATCATATGCATTTTTATCATTCTTGGTCGATTTACCATTTATACTGAGAGTTGGTACATTTAAATTTGACCACTTGAAATATGCCATTTGCACATCTTTGCTTTGTCTTATTGGCATCAGAGCTTACAATTATAAGCAGACTGAATGTTCTTTTCTACCACAGATGCTCGACAGATACGAACAACATACTCTCAAATGCTCATCGTGCAAAGGTGCCTACGAGGCCTTTCAGATGTTGCAGAAGCTATTTATAGGCACAACAATAGTTTTCTGTGCTACTGCTGGAATTCCTTCAGAGTTCTCAATTCGACTTCTGTTAGCTGCAGCTGCCATTGCCAGCGCAGCTGTGGCTTATGCTTTGCGTGAACTCCAGAAGAACTTTGTCTATGTGGATTACATACATGCTAATATTGATTAACCCATCACAGGGGAGGGACCTTCAAACGAGATTTGCTAGAGCTGGTTTCTGTGTACTTGTTAGATCTAATAAGAACTGTGAGATGTATGAAGCTTCTGTAAGTTACTTGTATAGCCAGAGTAGCACAGTTGTAGATGTTAAACATTCTCTCTTGATGAAGTGTGAATCTCTCACTTTCTATTTGGTGATGCTTTAATTTATCGATGTGGGATAGTGGTCGAATGAAGTATCAATAATCTTTGGTTCTTTTAAGTATAGTCCACTTGTTCAAGAATGAATGTGTTCTTACTATTTTTTCCACTAAATTTCATCCACCTCAACATTATCATGTAGATTTGCTGAAGTGCAGCTACCTATTTACATTGGCTATTGAGAATGACAGGTTGACAAGTTAACCATACCAGATCTGAAAAGAGAAAATAAACGTATCTTGTTTTCCCTGTTATGAAGTCAACTCTCACTATGACTACAGAAGTCCGGAGTTGGTGCTCTCACTTATGGAAGATCTCTACTTTATGAACCATCCATCATCTTTGCTGGTGCCCTCAACTTCTGCTTCGCAATATGCTTCCCACTCTATTGTTTTAGAGAAGACGATTAAATAGCACACTAGACTGCTAGAATGAACAGAATCGAGGCATTTTGGAACTATACTAATTTTGTAACGAAATAATCTAATGAAATCTTTTACGAGACTTAGTACAATGATAAGATTACTTCTTCGCAATAAAAATAAAATAAAATAAATCAAGATCCGAGATACAAAAATAATACCTCTAAAACATTGGCATTAACGAGTAGTAGTTGGTTTCTCTCTTCGTCTTGATAGATTCTTAGATTTAGCTTAGTATTACCCAAAAATTCTCTAGGCGGATACTATCACTCCCTTATCAAAAGGAAATTTGAAGGAAAAAAGGAAAAACAATACGTGGTTCACATGTGTTCCCAAATCCAACGACAACGTGATCAACCACTTGCTGCAAGAACGAAGCTCGACTTGAAGGCCAATGGGCAAAGGGCTCCCACTCCACCTGAACTGCACATTGGTGGACGGCAATGACATCCACCTCTTTCCTAAAGGACAAAGCAAAAGCGGAAGGAAAAGGCGAAGGAACCTACTTAGCATATGCCGCACAAAAGCAGAGGAGGAATGAAGACAAAGCACAAAGCCAAGGAAGGTGGTGTCATTCACGCCCAGCATATCCCCCGGAAGATGCCATCCCTCACGTTTATATATGTCCACCCGAAGAGACGTCTCGATCCTCCTCTGTAAGCCCCCCCACGTGATTCATCATCCAGTCATGTGACGCGACGGCCTCGCCGTCCTCCGCCGACGCGGAGTTCCGCGGAAGCCAGTTGCAGTGGCAATGGTAATCGTAGTAGTAACGATAATGATATCGTTGCCTTTTCCTCTTCTAATAAGGTCTTCACTGACTTCTTGACGAGAGGTGGAAGCTATGCAATAGCAAGTTTGTAGGGCAACTTGAAACCTTTGGCATATGAATTCCAACTTTCCTGGTGATGTAGAAGCTCTTCGTGGGGCACTCATGGGAAGAAGGTAAAGCATGCTTCTTGTGTGTTTCCTTCTCCACTACTATTCTCCCTATGAATGCATAATAAGATGCAACGAACGCAAGCTGATTTGGTTGCTGTTTCTTGGAAATGGATGGCTTTGTTGAATTCACAGCCTCTGTGCCATGTCTTTGTGTTGTCTGATGTTGATGATTCGTTTGAGCCATTCGGTTGCCATCTTGTCCTTACAGTCCTAGAAATGGTTTCCATGATGCAGCATAACCAGTGTCCAAAAGAGAGCGTTGTCCAAATGTTATCTGCATAAAGCCTTATACGAAGAACATAGCAGATTAATCCTCTAAACTGAATCACCAATGTTATCTGCATTAATACCTCACATAATTTGTCCACCGACGATGGATACCTTCTTAAAACGATGGAACCAAAACAGGACTTAAATCATCTGATATAGTTCCATCCTATCAGAAGCACTCGAAGGTGATAACAAAACTAAAGCAACACGTACACGATATCCGCTGCTACCGATTAGGATCTCGAGCCATTGACGAAAACCCTAAGAACATCCACTGATTTCAATAAAAAGCAAATGGAGGAAAAAGAAAAATTGAAAGTGACAGAAAACTGACACACGGATATCCCGACATCAAATCGACACTCACTCACTCACTCAAATGCCCAACGTCAAAACGACACTCACTCGAATGCCAACATGAAGGCAATAGTTGACGACTCTATGACGCCACACAATCTTACATAAATCCTCATTATCTTTGTTTTAAGTATCAAAGAGTCATTATCGAATATCCATCCATTGGCTTAACATTGAACTTGCAATGAAATCAAATCAATCTGAATCATGTTAGCTACGCGATAACCAAAAACTACAACAGGAAGAGACCAAAAATATCTCCTTTCTTGTTTTACCTTAAATCCTCGAGCGATCGGGTGTCGAAAGATATGAGGATTCTCGATCTCCAAATCGCCCTGGGAGTTAGCAAGAACATTAATGACTCAAACTTGTGTCCTCCGTTGGGGTGTAACACCGTTGACGATTGTGGACGCCTTCAATAACGATTCAGAGAAGGTCGATTCAGGATCTGTTAACACCGTTGCCTCCAGTTCGCAGTCGGAACACGACCCAAGTTGATTCATTTGCATCACGGTGGCAGTCGAAACGATTACCTAAATGGAAACAGAAACAGAGGTCGGAAAATGAAGCTTCTGCACATAACCATGTCAAACAAGCCAGGCAACCAAAGCTGTCAAAGAGAAAGGAACAAGAGGAGATCAATGAGACACAATAAACCTGAAGAAGCACATGTATACAACATCCAGAATCAGGATAATGATATCTCGGGATGAACAGAACTTTCCGAAGATCTCGATCAAATATCAGGAGATTTCGAACCAAAGGTATCAAAAGGTCATAGCCATTTTCCCCACATTACAGCACAACCAATCCTGAGACAAGATACAACAGCAGATTACACCCGAGCTGCACGACAGCCACAAGAAGCCTGCCCAACACCTAAAAGTAAAGTTGCCTAGATTGGGCCACGGTCGCCTCCGATGGACAGTAAGGACACTTGAAAGCTCGTGTACTGTTCTTGGAGAGCTTCACTATCGACTGCTTGGAGAGCACATGCCCACATGGAATCATCATCGGAGGGTTCTCATCACTCCCCTGCTCTTTCAGCACTGGGCAAATGAAGATTGAGTGAAAATGGAACTCCCTTCCCAGGTCCACTGGAACAGGGAGCTCTGTCATCGTCAGCCACTCCTGCTTCTTAGTAGCCATCACACTTTCTATCTTCAGCAGCACCGGCAGCCCTTGAATGCCTGCTGCTATTGTCACACCAAGTGGGCTTTGATAAGACTGGCCCAGCAGGCTGCAGAACCGTTGCATGAACTCCTCAGCTACGGTCTCCCAGTGACTAGGCAACATGAAGTCAGCGTATGGGGACTGGTGGATCTTACCAGCCCATAACAGACAGGCCATCAACTTTTGGAATGTGACCATGTGCACCGGAGCAAAAGGGGCTAGACGAGTCCTTGCATAAGTGAGAGCCTCATTTCTGCTTCCGTTCTGTAGTATCTCTACAAACTGCAGTTGGTGAAGCTTCAGTTCAAGACTAGAACCATTGTGCAATAACCATTCACTCTGCTTGGAAGCCCAGCAAAGAGCAGGTTCAAGGTTCCTACACCTCATAGCCTCGACTATTTCATGCATCTCCAGGAAAGCAGATTTAATGGCTGCAGATTCTGGCTCGTTTGCTTCTCTTATGAAGCAGTCACCGATATTGAACATGCCATGGCGGTAGAAGTGGGTTGCAATAATCTGATTTACTATGTGGACATCAAAGTCAACTTTTCGATGTGCTTTTGATATATCTGAATTGAAACACTTCTCAAGTGTTTTGACATATTTTCCAAGTCCAAAGTTCAGCTCCTTCTGGAGTCCTTCTAATTGGTTTAGTGGTGCAATCTCATTCAGTTTGGTCTTCAGATCAACCAGTATAGATTTTGGATCAGTACAGCCAGTAGTACTCTCAATCGGCTGCATCTTCAACTTTGCCTGCTCAATCTCCCATCCAACATGGTCAATGAGTTCTTGAGTTCTAGAAGACAAAAGCTTCTGCTTCTTAGCAACTCGGTCAAATACATCATGTACCATATTTAACTCCATTTATTCCTAGCAGTGAATAAATCCTCCAGTTCAGCACCTGCATCATAGCAATCATCTATTAACCACTTCAGCAGATGCACAATTCAAAAAAACGAGCAATATTTTGATAAAAGGATTGTGCAATTAATACAATCGTCTCGAAAATATCTTTATGGCTTTGGGATGGGACAATGAATAATAAAGCTATACGACACAAATACAGAACTTTTTTTTCAGCAAATACCACTAGTTAAAGCGCATGGCCAGAGAAGTCCTTACACCAGTTCTACTTTTTGCAAAGCTAGACCTGAAACCATTTGTTGTTGATTTGGAAATGCATCATACATGTTGGAACCAAGCCACACATCCCTTTGCAATGTGTTTAACAATGCTGTAACTACGAACTAGCTTTTATAAGACATCCCATAAATGCTGCACACAAGAAGAATTCTACGCTTTCCAAATTCTCCTATAAAATGAGTATGATAAACTTCCAGCCTTGATCATGCAAGGAGTACACATAAGCCTCACCTTGTGTTGCCCAATACATTGAATGGACCTTTAAAATATTAGCCAATCCCAGTCTAAATTGGATTGATCCCTTCGAACAAGATTTTGAAATTCGGCTGATGTGATTCACAATTCAGATGAAAATCTACAGTCACCGACACCAATAAATCAGACCCCAACCTTATCCAAAATCATGTTCTCTCATTTTGTAACCCTGAGACTTCTCCTGCAACTCATTTATCTACCACTAAGCAGGCAAGAAAAAAACTTCTAAATAGAATACCAATAATGTGAGTCTCCGGCTGTGCCAAGCGTGAGTATCCCCAATTTCATCAATGGTTCAATTGAACCAGATGTCTCACCACCAAAAAATTGGGAGTCTCCCACAGCCATCCATCCAAGCTCCTCTCATCTTCCTTCTCCTTCTGTGCTAATACTTTAATATCATTATTAATATAACATGTGAATTTTGTATCTGTTAGTATTAATACAGTTTTTTATCAATCATGATATATAATTTTAAAATTATAGTATTCAAGAACACCTCGTTTCGCTCAGGCAAGCACCTAGTGCATTAGGCATTTTGGCACCTTGGTATCTAGCGCCTTTGACTACATTGCGTTCTAGAGAAACTCCAGTAACTAAGTAAGATTAGGGCAGAATGAACAGGGAAAGCTGACTGACGCATAGCCTACCTCTAGATTTTAGAAAAGACTGATAAATACAAATTGAAAATCAAGCTTTGATGTGCCTAAGATAAAATTTGCAGAAGAAATAAGTATGAGATTTACATGGAGGGCAAACAATGTTGAAAATAAGCAAAGAAGTTATGTTAAAGAAGAGGTTCATTTTATTCTTAGAACCCTGTGAGGTGGATAAGAGTTTTAGCAGAGTCAATGTCTGCAGGGCTGACACCAAAAGCACATAAACAGGTCTGGTGATGTTTGTTAATGGCTGCCTTTAAAGGTACTTGATTATCAAAATGATTTTGAAGGATCTGCATATCACTGGGGACTGTAAATATTGATGGATATAGAAATGCTCTTTACATAGAAAAATCAGTGGGGCTAGAAAAATCTAAACACCAAGCTAATCACAAGCCCAAAAAAGTCTAAGATTTGGACTGAACATGACTGACTTGGTATGCTAGAAAATTTGCTGGGAGTATAAGAGCCAATTCACATGAGTTTGCATCCATGATTGACAATCAAGAACAGGTACAAATCAAAGTTTACATATGTGCTTAGACCATTTAATTCCTGGATTGTATTTGATTATCCATCTAACTTTTACCTCTACCAACATTTTTCTCCATAATCAATTACTTTTAATAATATAAACTAAATTTGCATATTTTTCTCTATTTTTGGTTTATCCTGTGAAATGTGTAATTATTAGTGACTTTTGCTGTATGCACACGTTACATCTTTTCTTCGAGGATAAATTCTAGAATAAAAGTTTTAGTAGTTTTCTTTGACTGAGATTCTATTTTGGCCACCCTTGTTTCTGTAGCTGAGTCAAAATCTTCATAAATGAATACAAACAAGGGCTACAACATTTTCTTTAGTTGAAACTTATAACCCCTTCTCCTTCCATCTGTCTCTTTCTTCTCATATTTAATTTGGCTACTTGGTATGCAATGATGTGAAGCATGATAGGGTTAAGAATTACACATACAAAAAGAATGGAGTTGCAACAACAAGATCAACAACATCTATTTAAAAAAAAAAGTATTAATGTCATGTATATAAAAGAAATCCATTTCTTTACAAATAAGGAATCAACATATGACTAATTGATGATAATAAAAGTAGATGCAATGGCTTCCTAGGATGATAAAAAAGTATTCAAATATCTGGACCTTACAAACGTGATTTAGCATATCAAAATCCATTATTAATTAAGTTTAAAATAAATCAACAAGAAGTCAAACTATGTTCGTAAATTCAAAATTCCCAGTTTCAACATACTTGAGATGAATTCTCAAGTCTTATTTCAGCAAGCACTTTTCACGACTGCTTAATTTGTGAATATTTAGCTCTCATGTAGATAAAATGTCTTCTAGTATCTTTAGATATGATCAAATTTGGCAGTTTATACCTCTAATTTCCATAATGTACCTTAATTCCATGCACATCAGTATATCTCTAGATATGATCAAATTTGGCAGTTTTAGAGTTGCTTATGATAATCCATGTACACAATGTATAATCAATGAAAAATTCATACAATATGAGTTGCGAGTTCATTGCAACTTACCCGATTATTATAGGATGGTACATGTCACAGGAAAGAGAAAAACAGAGAGCAACATACAACTAGAGATAACAGGCTAAGTAGAAGAGAGGGATGACATATGCATGGATTTTACTAGAAATGAAGTAAACTGAACTGAGAAAATACTTGAAGAAGCAGCAGAAACTGACATAAGAGCAGAAACAAATACATAATTCACAAAGAGAGAAATCTGCTGCAGAAACAATGCTAATGACATGCTAGCAGAGCAGCTGAAGGGGCTCTTTTAAGAACAATATGGTGCCATAACGTAAAACTGAAGCAATCCAAGGAGGAGATGCAACCGTCCCGAAAGGATATCTCACAATGACCCCAATCGATATTACCAACCATAACCACAATGCAGCAAAATGTCATCATCACAGACAAGTTCAAGCTACCAAGAAATGAAAAGGCATATGCAAACATAAGGTGCAGGTATAATGGGTTCCAATACAGCTCATGTTCCATCTATACTGACTCTTAAATAACATAACTGCTTATCAGCTCAAGGTGTAACATATAGTTGCCTCAGTTGTCAGCATCACTAATTAAGGAGCAGAAGTACATAGCGAGAATCAGTTCCAGTGGTAAAAGAAAGAAATATAGAGGCTGGATGAAATATGCAATGTGAAACATACCACCAAGAAAACCCTCTCTACGATGAAGCGCACTGGGTTGCCAAATGCCAAATGTTATATCTGAATCGCTAGGATAAAACTCAAGAAACTAAACGGGCCTGCATATGAGAAAATGTGCAGCTAAAATAAGTAATAAGAATGATAAATTACTAACCTAGACAACCATATAACTAGTTTATACAAAATGGATGAATTCAGATGTCATCAAGCTACAAAGAGGATCTTCACGTAAATTCCAACAGACCCTTCGGTGACAACAGACCGCTCAACTTGCACAGGCTTCAAAAAGTACTGCAATACATTAAGCAAATTTCTTTCATTTTTACATCCAACGAGCCTAATTACCATCAACCTAACAAAAGACCCACAACCATCTAAAGGCAAAGTAATAATCGGCATTGAGAAGAAAAGCAACAAGAAACGAAACAATGCAAACACTGACAGAATCTACTGAACCAAATTAGATGGAGAATAAAACCAAGAGGAAATCGATCAAACAAACAGGGATAGAAGTCAAAGAAGGAAGAAATCCTTGATCGATCTCCCTACACCCAGCGTCAAGAAACGGGCAGTAACAAAACCCATCAATCCGACATCAAGAATTCGGTTCTTGATCTCAATAGATGGATTAAAGAAGGAACAGGTAAAGAAAAATAATGGGCAAAGAGAGGGGGGAGGAAGGAGGTTACGCTTGGCTTGGAGGTCGGCGACGATGAAAAAGGCGTCCGGAGGAGGAAGAAGCGAGAAGGGAAGAGGGGGCACAATGGGGAGAACAGGTGTTGCGTGAGAGGATAGGTATGCTCTTGGGATGTAAGAGTGTGTATATTTAAAAAGAAGGTGATGAAGAAATATATATCGCAAATTTCAAATTTATCTTTATATATATATATATTATATATATATATATATATATATATATATATATATATAT